TACTTCGTGGCGGATTGTGTTGTCTATCAAAACACTGCTACTCCGTGGCGGATTGTGTTGTCTATCAAAACACTGCTACTCCGTGGCGGATTGTGTTGTCTATCAAAACACTGCTACTTTATGGTGGATTTTGTTGTCTATAAAAACACTGCTACTCCGTGGCGGATTGTGTTGTCTATCAAAACACTGCTACTCCATGTTGGATTTTGTTGTCTATCAAAACACTGCTACTCCATGGTGGATTTTGTTTTTCTATCAAAACACTGCTACTCCGTGGCGGATTTTGTTGTCTATCAAAACACTGCTACTCCGTGGTGGATTGTGTTGTCTATCAAAACACTGCTACTTTATGGTGGATTTTGTTGTCTATCAAAACACTGCTACTCCATGGTGGATTTTCTTTTTCTATCAAAACACTGCTACTCCGTGGCGGATTGTGTTGTCTATCAAAACACTGCTACTCCGTGGCGGATTGTGTTGTCTATCAAAACACTGCTACTCTGTCTATCAAAACACTGCTACTTGGTTTTGTTGTCTATCAAAACACTGCTACTTTATGGTGGATTTTGTTGTCTATCAAAACACTGCTACTCCGTGGTGGATTGTGTTGTCTATCAAAACACTGCTACTTTATGGTGGATTTTGTTGTCTATAAAAACACTGCTACTCAAAATCAAAACACTGCTACTTTATGGTGGATTTTGTTGGCTACTCCGTGGCGGATTGTGTTGTCTATCAAAACACTGCTACTCCATGTTGGATTTTGTTGTCTATCAAAACACTGCTACTCTGTGGTGGATTTTGTTGTCTATCAAAACACTGCTACTCCATGTTGGATTTTGTTGTCTATCAAAACACTGCTACTCTGTGGTGGATTGTGTTGTCTATCAAAACACTGCTACTCCGTGGCGGATTGTGTTGTCTATCAAAACACTGCTACTTTATGGTGGATTTTGTTGTCTATCAAAACACTGCTACTCCGGATGTTGGATTTTGTTGTCTATCAAAACACTGCTACTCCGTGGCGGATTGTGTTGTCTATCAAAACACTGCTACTCCGTGGCGGATTGTGTTGTCTATCAAAACACTGCTACTTTATGGTGGATTTTGTTGTCTATCAAAACACTGCTACTCCATGGTGGATTGTGTTTGTTGTTGTCTATCAAAACACTGCTACTCCGTGGCGGATTGTGTTGTCTATCAAAACACTGCTACTCCGTGGTGGATTGTGTTGTCTATCAAAACACTGCTACTTTATGGTGGATTTTGTTGTCTATCAAAACACTGCTACTCCGTGGCGGATTGTGTTGTCTATCAAAACACTGCTACTCCGTGGCGGATTGTGTTGTCTATCAAAACACTGCTACTCTGTGGTGGATTTTGTTGTCTATCAAAACACTGCTACTCTGTGGTGGATTTTGTTGTCTATCAAAACACTGCTACTCCGTGGCGGATTGTGTTGTCTATCAAAACACTGCTACTTTATGGTGGATTTTGTTGTCTATCAAAACACTGCTACTCCGTGGCGGATTGTGTTGTCTATCAAAACACTGCTACTTTATGGTGGATTTTGTTGTCTATCAAAACACTGCTACTCTGTGGTGGATTTTGTTGTCTATCAAAACACTGCTACTCTGTGGTGGATTTTGTTGTCTATCAAAACACTGCTACTCCGTGGCGGATTGTGTTGTCTATCAAAACACTGCTACTCCATGTTGGATTTTGTTGTCTATCAAAACACTGCTACTCTGTGGTGGATTTTGTTGTCTATCAAAACACTGCTACTCTGTGGTGGATTTTGTTGTCTATCAAAACACTGCTACTCCATGTTGTCTATCAAAACACTGCTACTCCATGTTGGATTTTGTTGTCTATCAAAACACTGCTACTCTGTGGTGGATTTTGTTGTCTATCAAAACACTGCTACTTTATGGTGGATTTTGTTGTCTATCAAAACACTGCTACTCCGTGGCGGATTTTGTTGGCTATCAAAACACTGCTACTCTGTGGCGGTTTTTGTTGTCTATCAAAACACTGCTACCCAGGGTAGATTTTGTTGTCTATCAAAACACTGCTACTTTATGGCGGATTGTGTTGTCTATCAAAACACTGCTACTCTGTGGTGGATTTTGTTGTCTATCAAAACACTGCTACTTTCTGGTGGATTTTGTTGTCAATCAAAACACTGCTACTCTGTGGTGGATTTTGTTGTCTATAAAAACACTGCTACTCTGTGGTGGATTTTGTTGTCAATCAAAACACTGCTACTTTATGTTGGATTTGTTGTCTATCAAAACACTGCTACTCTGTGGTGGATTTTGTTGTCTATCAAAACACTGCTACTCTGTGGTGGATTTTGTTGTCTATCAAAACACTGCTACTCTGTGGTGGATTTTGTTGTCTATCAAAACACTGCTACTCTATGGTGGATTGTGTTGTCTATCAAAACACTGCTACTCCGGGGCGGATTGTGTTGTCTATCAAAACACTGCTACTCTGTGGTGGATTTTGTTGTCAATCAAAACACTGCTACTTTATGGCGGTTTTTGTTGTCTATCAAAACACTGCTACCCAGGGTAGATTTTGTTGTCTATCAAAACACTGCTACTCCGTGGCGGATTGTGTTGTCTATCAAAACACTGCTACTCCGTGGCGGATTTTGTTGTCTATCAAAACACTGCTACTCCGGGGCGGATTTTGTTGTCTATCAAAACACTGCTACTCTGTGGTGGATTTTGTTGTCTATCAAAACACTGCTACTTTATGGTGGATTTTGTTGTCTATCAAAACACTGCTACTCCGTGGCGGATTTTGTTGTCTATCAAAACACTGCTACTCCGTGGCGGATTTTGTTGTCTATAAAAACACTGCTACTCCGTGGCGGATTGTGTTGTCTATCAAAACACTGCTACTCCGTGGCGGATTGTGTTGTCTATCAAAACACTGCTACTCTGTGGTGGATTTTGTTGTCTATCAAAACACTGCTACTCCGTGGCGGATTTTGTTGTCTATCAAAACACTGCTACTTCGTGGCGGATTGTGTTGTCTATCAAAACACTGCTACTCCTCGGCGGATTGTGTTGTCTATCAAAACACTGCTACTCCGTGGCGGATTTTGTTGTCTATCAAAACACTGCTACTCCGTGGCGGTTTTTGTTGTCTATCAAAACACTGCTACCCATGGTAGATTTTGTTGTCTATCAAAACACTGCTAACCCATGATAGATTTTGTTGTCTATCAAAACACTGCTATTCTGTTGTAGATAGTGTGGTCTATCAAAACACTGCTACTCCGTTGTAGATAGTATGGTCTATCAAAACACTGCTACTTCGTTGTAGATAGTGTGGTCTATCAAAACACTGCTTCTTCGTCGTAGATAGTGTGTTCTACCAAAATACTGCTACTCCGTGGCGGATTTTGCTGTCTATCAGTAGCCTTTATGAGTTTGGATTAAAAACAAAACAAAAATTAAAAAAAAAAAAACATATAAGGAGCTATGACATATTGATATCGGTCGATTCCCGAATATGCCGCACAAACCAAGATTACTATCGACCGAGGACGTTGTGTTCGGTTATTGGGACATAATTAGGGATCCAATCTATATGAGATATAATAGCATTTGAAAGTCAAAATATTATGTAAGTCGGAGATTAAAAAATTGTTCATCTACAGTCTGATTTCAAATCGATGGTACATGAATTAGCTAACGACGTGAGCACACCATTATGTATGTGTTAATACGCTACGGAATTAGTGTAACACATCGAAGCGAAGGTTTCAAAACTCCACCTAAATGAGGCGTCAACAGCGCAGAATCAGTGACAATCTGATATGTAGGTGTCAACACAGCGAAGTGTCAATACTCAACAATATCGTTGTCAACAAACTGAAGTGTTGTTGTCAACAATCCTCAATATCGACGTCCAAACTCCAGTCTACAAGTGTAATACTCGGTTCCTTCCATATCAACATCCCCTCCACCTTTGTAAAATCGTGTCATTCCAACCTCCTGAGTGAATACTCTGTTACACCTGTGTCTTTACTCCCTCCACCCTTGTCAATGTTCTGTTACACCTGTGTCTTTACTCCCTCCACCCGTGTCAACGTTCTGTTACACCTTTGTCTATACTCCCTCCACCCGTGTCAATGTTCTGTTACACCTTTGTCTATACTCCCTCCACCCGTGTCAATGTTCTGCTCCACCTGTGTCTATACTCCCTCCACCCGTGTCAATGTTCTGTTACACCTGTGTCTATACTCCCTCCACCCGTGTCAATGTTCTGTTACACCTGTGTCTATACTCCCTCCACCCGTGTCAATGTTCTGTTACACCTGTGTCTATACTCCCTCCACCCGTGTCAATGTTCTGCTCCACCTGTGTCTATACTCCCTCCACCCGTGTCAATGTTCTGTTACACCTGTGTCTATACTCCCTCCACCCGTGTCAATGTTCTGTTACACCTGTGTCTATACTCCCTCCACCCGTGTCAATGTTCTGCTCCACCTGTGTCTATACTCCCTCCACCCGTGTCAATGTTCTGTTACACCTGTGTCTATACTCCCTCCACCCTTGTCAATGTTCTGTTACACCTGTGTCTTTACTCCCTCCACCCGTGTCAACGTTCTGTTACACCTGTGTCTATATTCCCTTCACCCGTGTCAACGTTCTGTTACACCTATGTCTATATTCCCTCCACCTGTTTCTACTGCCTCAGGTTATATAACCATAATGATGACCTCCCATTGATTCTCTTAATTATGGTTGAAAAGGTCAAAGGTCGGACAGGTGTCGCTTAGGTCTACCGATGGGAGACGACCCTTTTGAGATACAAATTTATCCAATTAGATTTATCTCTGCTGTACGGTATCACGATGAATCAGCGTGGGAGCACAATGTGAGCAGAAAGTTTGATAACATTTCACGGAGCAATCAGCTTCAGTAATGATACAAAATTCTGTTGTCCGACAATGTCATAGTGATCAATGAGGATTAAACATGTACCGAGTATCTAGTGTAGCAGAATCAGTAGCTGTTATAGGGACTATATCTAGTGTAGCAGAATCAGTAGCTGTTATAGGGACTATATCTAGTGTAGCGGCATCAGTACCTGTTATAGGGCCTATATCTACTGAAGCGGCATCAGTACCTGTTATAGGGACTATATCTAGTGTAGCAGCATCAATACCTGTTATAGGGACTATATCTAGTGTAGCAGCATCAATACCTGTTATAGGGACTATATCTAGTGTAGCAGAATCAGTAGCTGTTATAGAGACTATATCTAGTGTAGCAGCATCAATACCTGTTATAGGGACTATATCTAGTGTAGCAGCATCAATACCTGTTATAGGGACTTTATCTAGTGTAGCAGAATCAGTAGCTGTTATAGGGACTATATCTAGTGTAGCAGAATCAGTAGCTGTTATAGGGACTATATCTAGTGTAGCAGAATCAGTACCTGTTATAGAGACTATATCTAGTGTAGCAGCATCAATACCTGTTATAGGGACTATATCTAGTGTAGCAGAATCAGTAGCTGTTATAGAGACGATATCTAGTGTAGCGGCATCAGTACCTGTTATAGAGACTATATCTAGTGAAGCAGCATCAGTACCTGTTGTAGGGACTATATCTAGTGTAGCAGAATCAGTAGCTGTTATAGGGACTATATCTAGTGTAACGGCATCAGTACCTGTTATAGGGACTATATCTAGTGTAGCAGCATCAGTACCTGTTATAGGGACTATATCTAGTGTAGCGGCATCAGTACCTGTTATAGGGACTATATCTAGTGTAGCGGCATCAGTACCTGTTATAGGGACTATATCTAGTGTAGCAGAATCAGTACCTGTTATAGAGACTATATCTAGTGTAGCGGCATCAGTACCTGTTATAGGGACTATATCTAGTGTAGCAGAATCAGTACCTGTTATAGAGACTATATCTAGTGTAGCGGCATCAGTACCTGTTATAGGGACTATATCTAGTGTAGCAGCATCAGTACCTGTTATAGGGACTATATCTAGTGTAGCAGAATCAGTACCTGTTATAGAGACTATATCTAGTGTAGCAGCATCAGTACCTGTTATAGGGACTATATCTAGTGTAGCAGAATCAGTACCTGTTATAGAGACTATATCTAGTGTAGCGGCATCAGTACCTGTTATAGAGACTATATCTAGTGAAGCAGCATCAGTACCTGTTGTAGGGACTATATCTAGTGTAGCAGAATCAGTAGCTGTTATAGGGACTATATCTAGTGTAACGGCATCAGTACCTGTTATAGGGACTATATCTAGTGTAGCAGCATCAGTAGCTGTTATAGGGACTATATCTAGTGTAGCGGCATCAGTACCTGTTATAGGGACTATATCTAGTGTAGCGGCATCAGTACTTGTTATAGGGACTATATCTAGTGAAGCGGCATCAGTACTTGTTATAGGGACTATATCTAGTGAAGCGGCATCAGTACCTGTTATAGGGACTATATCTAGTGTAGCGGCATCAGTACCTGTTATAGGGACTATATCTAGTGTAGCGGCATCAGTACCTGTTATAGGGACTATATCTAGTGAAGCGGCATCAGTACCTGTTATAGGGATTATATCTAGTGTAGCGGCATCAGTACCTGTTATAGGGACTATATCTAGTGTAGCGGCATCAGTACCTGTTATAGGGACTATATCTAGTGTAGCAGCATCAGTACCTGTTATAGGGACTATATCTAGTGTAGCGGCATCAGTACCTGTTATAGGGCCTATATCTAGTGAAGCAGCATCAGTACCTATTATAGGGACTATATCTAGTGTAGCAGAATCAGTAGCTGTTATAGGGACTATATCTAGTGTAGCAGCATCAATACCTGTTATAGGGACTATATCTAGTGAAGCAGCATCAGTACCTGTTATGGGGACTATATCTAGTGTAGCAGAATCAGTAGCTGTTATAGGGACTATATCTAGTGTAGCAGCATCAATACCTGTTATAGGGACTATATCTAGTGTAGCGGCGTCAGTACCTGTTATAGGGACTATATCTAGTGAAGCAGCATCAGTACCTGTTATAGGGACTATATCTAGTGTAGCAGCATCGGTACCCCGGTACAACAATGAGTTGGGTTATTGGCTGGCTACGGGATATAATAGTAGGTTGGAAAGAGGTAGAGCAATTGATACAATTATTGTTTGGGTTAATCATAGGGTTGTTGATACTATTATGGATTTTGTTTCAGGTGTGTTAGGAAATATTATTATGGTCTGGGTTATAGATACTGTAGGGGACAAAATAAGGGGTTGAGTTAGAGGTAAGGTTGGGGTTATAATAATTGTTTATATTACAGTTCGTGTTATACTAGAGATTGAGGTATCAATATTTATTGGTGTTTTCATTTTAGGGTGCTTCTTTTGTTGACTATTTTCCACAATGCTGTTTGGTATTATCTATTAAAATTACTTTTAAAGTTGTTATAAAATAATAAGTTTTAATTAAGGTTTATTAATGTACAATGTAAATATTACAACAACTAGTCTAAAACAGGAGGATTACCTTACAGCCAATAGAAGGAATCACTCTGGTTGTTCAGTTACATCATCAGAAGCAATGAGTCTATTCTAATGATATAATCTAACATGTTATCGGTAAAAATAACATTTCACTATGTCAGCAAAATGGTCTATACTCAGATCGTTAGTTTCCGTTTCCCTGTGATACTTGTTGAAATGTTGTAGAATAAGTATTGTCAGCTACGGAGATTAGGAATTTTAAAAACAGCACTCTTTGTAATATGTTTCTGTCTAAGCAATTTACCGACACGCCAACGCAAAACGGAGACATATCTAAACTTTAGCGAACCAACAGGCCGGACGTATCAGTGTACTAATATGGCCATTCATGGCTATAAAGAGTGCTTATATTTTGTCCCCTGCTGTTTCTATTACCTGTGCTCCCGAGTACGCGATCAGCTGACAAGGATCAGTCCCGGCATGTGATGATATCGATTTTCCTGGTTCCGATGAAATGAGGAAATTAACGGAAATGACATCATAAGAAATGATTTCCCGCTTATTTTATTCTGATATCCGTTTATTTACGTTTTGTTAATTGCCTCTCGGTATATTTAGAACAGCTAACTTGAAATTACATTGTTAGATCTTTGATGCGGTATTTGTTTCAGAAGAGCTGACCAATTTAACCGCTCAAGTAGATACCCCAGTCATTAGAATAATAAGACCAAGCCAATTAGTTGAATACTTATAGGTCAATAACAATTCTCAAACATCAATGCTAAACTCAGTACTTGTTTTGAGGTTAAATCTCCATCTAAGTCTATATACCTGATACTGCATTGTTATGAAGCACTTATTTGCTAAATTATTTTAAAACGATTTTAATCATTTTAATAACCTGGTACATTATTATGTTTGCAGAAGCCGTACTGAAGAGTTTTCGGCAGTAAAGAGTTGCTACACAAACTATCCCTTGTTGGCGTTAATTGGCTGTGAAACATCAGGTAATCAAACAATTTGCACATATTAACTATTGTACTAGAATTCGCATATTCAAAAGCTTCAAAACTGTCACAGCACAGAATGCCATGCTTTATTAGCATGAAGAGAAAAAATGAATTGAAGCTGGATTTAAGTTGAAATAAACAAACCTGATTCGGTGAGAAATTTCAATTTCAAGAAACATTACACGCAATAAAGATATTATAGCGATAGAGTGTAAATGGCTGACACATTTCATCACTGTACTTTATCAGCAACTCCGAGTGCGCCGATATATCATTCGAATGGGTAACACATCGAGGATCCAATCGAACAAAACACATTTCAAAAAGAATGTAAAAACATATCCTAGAAAATATTCAGTATGTCGAGACTCCACTGCCAGAACACGTTCTAGTAATTATCCGATCTGTCGAGACTCCACTGTAAGAACACATTGTAGAAAGTATCGGGTCATTCGAGACCCCATTGTAAGAACACATTGTAGAAAGTATCGGGTCTGTCGAGACTCCACTGTAAGAACACATTGTAGAAAGTATCGGGTCTGTCGAGACTCCACTGTAAGAACACATTGTAGAAAGTATCGGGTCTGTCGAGACTCCACTGTAAGAACACATTGTAGAAAGTATCGGGTCTGTCGAGACTCCACTGTAAGAACACATTGTAGAAAGTATCGGGTCTGTCGAGACTCCACTGTAAGAACACATTGTAGAAAGTATCGGGTCTGTCGAGACTCCACTGTAAGAACACATTGTAGAAAGTATCGGGTCTGTCGAGACTCCACTGTAAGAACACATTGTAGAAAGTATCCGGTCTATCGAGACTCCACTGTAAGAACACATTGTAGAAAGTATCGGGTCTGTCGAGACTCCACTGTAAGAACACATTGTAGAAAGTATCGGGTCTGTCGAGACTCCACTGTAAGAACACATTGTAGAAAGTATCGGGTCTGTCGAGACTCCACTGTAAGAACACATTGTAGAAAGTATCGGGTCATTCGAGACCCCATTGTAAGAACACATTGTAGAAAGTATCGGGTCTGTCGAGACTCCACTGTAAGAACACATTGTAGAAAGTATCGGGTCTGTCGAGACTCCACTGTAAGAACACATTGTAGAAAGTATCGGGTCTGTCGAGACTCCACTGTAAGAACACATTGTAGAAAGTATCGGGTCATTCGAGACCCCATTGTAAGAACACATTGTAGAAAGTATCGGGTCTGTCGAGACTCCACTGTAAGAACACATTGTAGAAAGTATCGGGTCTGTCGAGACTCCACTGTAAGAACACATTGTAGAAAGTATCGGGTCTGTCGAGACTCCACTGTAAGAACACATTGTAGAAAGTATCGGGTCTGTCGAGACTCCACTGTAAGAACACATTGTAGAAAGTATCGGGTCTGTCGAGACTCCACTGTAAGAACACATTGTAGAAAGTATCCGGTCTGTCGAGACTCCACTGTAAGAACACATTGTAGAAAGAAAGAACACATTGTAGAAAGTATCGGGTCTGTCGAGACTCCACTGTAAGAACACATTGTAGAAAGTATCGGGTCTGTCGAGACTCCACTGTAAGAACACATTGTAGAAAGTATCGGGTCTGTCGAGACTCCACTGTAAGAACACATTGTAGAAAGTATCGGGTCTGTCGAGACTCCACTGTAAGAACACATTGTAGAAAGTATCGGGTCTGTCGAGACTCCACTGTAAGAACACATTGTAGAAAGTATCCGGTCTATCGAGACTCCACTGTAAGAACACATTGTAGAAAGTATCGGGTCTGTCGAGACTCCACTGTAAGAACACATTGTAGAAAGTATCGGGTCTGTCGAGACTCCACTGTAAGAACACATTGTAGAAAGTATCGGGTCTGTCGAGACTCCACTGTAAGAACACATTGTAGAAAGTATCCGGTCTGTCGAGACTCCACTGTAAGAACACATTCTAGAAAGTATCGGTCTGTCGGTCTGTCGAAAGACTCCACTGTAAGAACACGTTCTAGAAAGTATCCGGTCTGTCGAGATCACTGCCAGAACACGTTCTAGAAAGTATCCGGTCTGTCGAGACTCCACTGTGAGAACACGTTCTAGAAAGTATCCGGTCTATCGATGCTAAACTGTTACGAACAAAGCTACAAAGTATCCGGTCTGTCGAGACTTCACTGTCAGAACACATTGTAGAAAGTATCGGGTCTGTCGAGACTCCACTGTAAGAACACATTGTAGAAAGTATCGGGTCTGTCGAGACTCCACTGTAAGAACACATTGTAGAAAGTATCGGGTCTGTCGAGACTCCACTGTAAGAACACATTGTAGAAAGTATCGGGTCTGTCGAGACTCCACTGTAAGAACACATTGTAGAAAGTATCGGGTCTGTCGAGACTCCACTGTAAGAACACATTCTAGAAAGTATCCGGTCTGTCGAGACTTAACTGCCAGAACACGTTCTAGAAAGTATCCGGTCTGTCGAGACTCCACTGTAAGAACACGTTCTAGAAAGTATCCGGTCTGTCGAGACTTCACTGCCAGAACACGTTCTAGAAAGTATCCGGTCTGTCGAGACTCCACTGTGAGAACACGTTCTAGAAAGTATCCGGTCTATCGATGCTAAACTGTTACGAACAAAGCTACAAAGTATCCGGTCTGTCGAGACTTCACTGTCAGAACACGTTCTAGAAAGTATCGGGTCTGTCGAGACTCCACTGTTAGAACACATTGTAAAAAGTATCCATTCTGTCGAGACTCCACTGTAAGAACACATTGTAGAAAGTATCCATTCTGTCGAGACTCCACTGTAAGAACACATTCTAGTAATTATCTGATCTGTCGAGACTCCACTGCAAGAACATATTCTAGAAAGTATCCGGTCTGTCGAGACTCCACTGTAAGAACACATTCCAGAAAGTATGCGGTCTGTCGAGACTCCACTGTAAGAACACATTCTGGAAAGTATCTAGTCTGTCGAGACTCCACTGTAAGAACGCATTATAGAAAGTATCCGATCTGTCGAGACCCCACTGTAAGAACACATTCTAGAAAGTATCCGAACTGTCGAGACCCCACTGTAAGAACACATTCTAGAAAGTATCCATTCTGTCGAGACTCCACTGTAAGAACACATTCTAGAAAGTATCCGGTTTGTCGAGTCTCCACTGTAAGAACACGGTCTAGAAAGTATCCGGTCTATCGAGACTTCACTGCCAGAACACATTCTAGAAAGTATCCGGTCTATCGAGACTCCACTGTAAGAACACATTCTAGAAAGTATCCGGTCTATCGAGACTCCACTGTAAGAACACGTTCTAGAAAGTATCCGGTCTATCGATGCTTAACTGTTACGAACAAAGCTACAAAGTATTCGGTTTGTTGAGTCTCCACTATAATGAAAAATACTATAGATTATCCAGGCTTGTCAGTCTCGATTGTAACTGGTCTATCGAGACCTCGTTGTATAAAGACACATAAGTGAATACCATCTTCTCGATGGGAAAATAAAATGAGATGATATATTGTTAAATAGCGATGCTTCATACAACTTTATCTCCCTTCTAGAACTCGTAATGATACTGAGGGCCAAAATAATTGAAATTTAGTAGGGGATTGAAGTACGATCAAGGCCAAGTTGAAATGACTGATATCATATGCATCCTATATGTTTATTGACTTTGTTTATAAAGTATCTGTGGCGTAGCCTGGAAGCCACAGTGCAATGGATTTCGTGGATAATGAAACTCGTCCATGTAAACAATTACAACGATAGAAAAGTTGTATGTGATAATTGCTTGTTTACTGGCCTGACTTCCGAATGTACGTATGGCCGCTGCCCGGCCGTCTTCAGATGCCAGGTATTGATTGGAAGGCTATTGGACTGACGTGACGACATTGTTATTGCTAAACCACCAGAACCACAAACAATGTTTGTGACGACCCCCTTGAGATGATCAGAGTTTCACTGAAGTTAATTTGTCCACAAAAACAATCACATCTAAACGTGAGCAGAAGTAGCCAGACTAAACGACGTCACTAAATTAGATTCGTGGAGAGGATACGCAAGGAGACCAAAACAGCCAAGAACAAGGCCGATACAGTAACAGGAAGGCTAATGGTAATACAGTCAGGAACAAGGCTGGCATAATAAAGGAAAGGAATGTGTATAGACAATACAGCCAAGAACTAGGCTGACACAATAACGGGAGGGGATGTGTATAGACAATACAGTGACGACCTGGGCTGACACAATAACGGGAGGGCATGTGTATTGACAAATTCAACCAAGAACTAGGCTGACACAATATCGAGATGGGATGTGTATTGACAATACAGCCAAGAACTAGGCTGACACAATAACGGGAGGGGATGTGTATAGACAATACAGTGACGACCTGGGCTGACACAATAATGGGAGGGAATGTGTTTAGATAATACAGCAAAGACCTGGGCTGACACAATAACAGGAGGGGATGTGTGTTGACAATACAGTGAAGACCTGGGCTGACACAATAACGGGAGGGAATGTGTATAGACAATACAGTGAAGACCTGGGCTGACACAATGACGGGAGGGAATGTGTATAGACAATACAGTGAAGACCTGGGCTGACACAATAACGGGAGGGAATGTGTATAGACAATACAGCAAGGACCTGGGCTGACACAATAACGGGAGGGCATGTGTATTGACAATACAGTGAAGACCTGGGCTGACACAATAACGACGGGAGTAGTGTAGTCTACATGTAACACAGCTGACGCTATAATGGGAGTCGAGCGTCGTCCTCTAAAAATTGCGTCAAAAAGAATACTAAAAACATAATAAAAAAAAAAGAAACTGTTTCGAAGCGATGACAAAAGCGAGAGATAGACGATACGACGGTGAATGTATATTGCTGGCGATGACTGGGTGATGACAGCCGATACCACTGTACACGTCTATTACTGGTGATGACTGGTA